TGGTAGCATTATGAGTCGGAGCTATTTTAACTTTCTCCAAATGTATAGTAATGCTTCAATTGTAACCAACCATGAATGAAGTTTTAAAATGTGTCTTTTCACTCTGTATCAGGATGGGATCAAGCCGATGTGGGAAGACGATAGGAACAAGCTCGGGGGTCGATGGCTGATGACCCTCAACAAGCAACAGAGACACAACGATCTTGACCGCTACTGGATGGAGACGGTAAGCGGGTGTTTTCATGGAGCAGCTCATAGATAAAGCTATATCTCAACATTTCACATTCAAGACAAAAAAACAACAGTACGATTCATATGTGTCCCATTTTGTGTATTTTGCAGCTCTTGTGTTTAGTCGGTGAGTCCTTTGATGCGGCAAGTGAAGATGTGAATGGAGCTGTGGTCAACGTCAGACCCAAAGGTGACAAAATATCAATCTGGACGAGCAACTGCCAAAACAGGGACGCCATCATGACGATAGGGTACGTTAAAAAGTCACTTTGTAGACCTTAGAATGACACTAATTCAAGTAATAGTGGTCTAGTTTACCACTAGATGGAGACACTAAGTTGGCGTCCATCTTCATAACGCTTCTTGCTTTTCCACAGGCAAAATTATAAAGAGCGTCTGAGCATCCCCGCCAAAGTCATCATCGGCTACCAGTCACATGACGACACATCCAGCAAGAGCGGATCCACCACCAAGAACATCTTCTCCGTTTGAAAAACTCCTCCACCTCGGTTTCAACTCGCTGTAGATTTAAACAATTACCAAACCGCATAATCACAATAATACTTTTGAGTTGTCATCTACTGTAGTGTCTTTTCCTTTTTATTGAAAAGAGATTTGTTCATAGTGTATACAGTTGGAGCTTCCCCCAGCAGCGGGGTGATGATAATGATTTGGGAGGAGGCCAGAAAGGCACAACATTTGGCTCAAAATGTCACGTAAGCTAGAGAACACGCATTATTTCCTTTTTAGAGTTGAAAAGTTCTGTGATTAATACCGGTGAGCTCCCCTAGCTTAGCTAAGATGAAGCTTATTTTCAGTACCCGAATGGCTTTGAGTTGCAAAAAAACATAACTATACAGCCTTGTGTTTTTCTTATTCTGGGTTCTAACCCTCCTTACAAATGCTTTTTGTCACCTTGCAGGTAAACTTATTGGAGGCTACTTATCTTTCACAGAACAAATTTTAAGGGCAGTTTTAACTTTACTTTTCCAGAAGTGTTAACCATGAGTTGGGCTTTTAGGCGCCTCAGTTTGAGAAATCTACAGTATCTTAAAGATTTGTAAAAGCTGTGGCCTCACTCCAAATTATAGGGGTTACATTTAAGGTCGCTTATTGTTTCAGCCATGCTGGAATTGTGAAAATATAGCTTGTAGTATTTTTGACCTTTTTTTTTTTTCTTCCCCTTACATTTATTTATAATGTATACATTGAAATACTTAGTTGAAAGACGACCATCAAACTTGTGTTTTTTCAAATTGTGTTTTTTTCTCTTTTTTGTTACTACGGTCAATAATGTGTACTACTGCATATAGATGACATTTTTTACAGTGTACCATAAAGATGCTGACAGAATTAGGTGTGCTTTTCACTGTTTTCTTCCTAACAAAAACTGTAGATAATGTTGCACGCCTCTCTTGGTTGATGCAAAGAAAAGATGATATTCATTGTGAAATGATTTTTCTCATAATGTATCTTTATTATCTGTAATTCCAGGATGTATATTACCTTCTTTTCAAGTAAAGGTTAAGTGCTTTGCATTAAAACCCGAAAGCATGTTGTCTTGTTTAGTGGGCATTAAAAAGACGTACACTTGTGAGTTACTGTATGTCTAGCAGCCTGTTATAACTTTGGCACAAATATTGCATTAAAGTAGGAGCCCATCATTACAGAAACGGGAGAAAATACATGTCAGTAAGTTACCTATAAATGTATCTTTAAAGGTACATTACATTGAGGAATCCTTACTCTAGTTTTCACGTAAAAAAGATTCACCCACCACGCCTAAAACTAGTACATTCTTCTGGAACGGTAACCTGGTGAGGATTTTAACGTCATTGTTTTCAGAACACACTGACAGATCTATTATTCGGCTGCCCCTTAGTCATGCAGTCAAACAGGATTTAGTGACGCCACAGGGACTGAAAATACCTGAACGGGTTGTTTTTTATCTCACTCCGCCCTAGTACCACACTTCAAGGTACAATCAGCAGAGTAACAGGACTTGAGAGTGTACACAGTGGTCATGATTTAATAAAGTGTCAAAGCTATATACAAGTGCTTAAGGAATATAATTGGAAGCTGACAGTGACATTTTCAGTAAATCTGATCCTTATCAGTGTAACTAATGAGGAATTGTTCATGTTAAAATAGTATAACAAGTCATTGCACAATACAACTGATAAACGTATAAGGATTCTTAGAGTGTAACATATCAAAGTTCATTGTTCTGTTGGCAGAGCATCAACATGATGAAAGGAATTTATCATGTTTTGTTCATTTGCTATTTACGGAGCCCTGGAGGGTTCATAGAGAGAAAAATAAATAAAACGTGGCCACGTTTTACTTTCTCGTGCGCACGCTTTAGTAACTCGTGCGCACGAATTACTAAAGCGTGCGCACGAGTTAATAAAGCGTGGCCTCGTTTTGTGTGTGTGTGTGCGTGTGCTGTTCGTGGTAATTTGAAAACAAATGCCGGTGGTGTCGGATACACACACACACACACACATAATGCGCCCCGGTGACAGGACATCTCCTTCATAAAGCGAGGGGGAATACTCAGTTCGATGTGTGTATAGGTGTGTGTGGTTAAACGTAGCAGCCTCGATCTCTATTCAGCGGTTCTAGTGAAGTAAACAGTAAAAGGCACAGCTCTTTGCAGCTGGTGCTGCTCTTCTCAGATTCTGCTGAGTTACACGTTACTGCCTCCAGTGCCCTGTACGACGAAGCCAGTTCAACAGACCCTGGACCTGGATATGTTCGATTTACCCGGCTTAAAGGCCCTGTCACACTGTCCCGAAATTGACACCCGATGGACACACGAATATGGAATTGTGAATTTCGCACGAAGATGGCCCCGAACCACACACGAAGGCAACATTTACATTACATGTAAGACATACAACTGCAATGAAAGTACCAAAAACAATTATGTTACAGTACTATGGTACTGTACTGATATCTTCAGACTTTGTTCTTTACTTTATCCGTCGTTATATGTAGAAAATATTACGTTTTCTCCGTAATGTTGTTTCCATAACAACAACAACTTCCTGTCAACTGTCCTTCAAAATAATATATTATATCCTTTTTAGTTTCACAGAACACAAATTGGGTTATTTACATAATATATTTACATGATTTTGTTGTGCAATAAAACAACCCGATGGACACACGATAAAGGAAATGTTCAAATTCGGCTGTGATCGTAGCAACATCGGACCATTCGTGAGTGCATCTTAAGCCATCGTATGACCGCCGGTGGAGTTTCTCAGGCTCCGGCAGCAACTTCGTGAGCGGTGGCAAAATCTTTGGCATGCCAAAAAATGGCCGAAGGACCTTGCGAAGGTTCATTTTCGTGTTGAATTCGTGTGTCAATTGTGCCCTTCGTAAGGCCATCGTGAGGGCATCTTGTTATCATCGGTGCCATCGGGCATTCGGCCCGATCAGAGTGAGGGTGAATGCACCGATGATAACACGAAGATGACACGATTTGACAAGATGCCCTCACGAGTGCCTTACGAAGTTGCCGCTCACGAAGTTGCTGCCGGAGCCTGAGAAACTCCACCGGCGGTCATACGATGGCTTAGATGCCCTCACGAATGGCCCGATGTTGCTACGATCACAGCCGAATTTGAAAATTTCCTTTATCGTGTGTCCATCGGGTGTCAATTTCGGGACAGTGTGACAGGGGCTTAACTGACCCTAACAAACGCGATGTCGATAAGCGGTCCTACGAAGCTGGTTATCAACTCAGTAAATCAACCAGGGTTTCTCTGTCCGGCTGAGAGCGCGCTCACGTGAAAGGGACGGGGTTAGCAACATTTGACCAATCACAAACATGGAGACGCGTGCTGACAGCGCAGCGTCATACTTCATGAATGAATAGTGTAAATAGCAAATCCTGCTTCGTAGTACAGGCCACTGGTGCCGCAGAGATTTCATAAAGTGAAGGAGGTTTTCCTTCTATAAAACAGCTGTGGGCAGCAGATACTGTGAGTCACGGACAGGAATCCCTCAATTGAAATAAAACGAGGCCACGCTTTATTAACTCGTGCGCACGCTTTAGTAACTCGTGCGCACGAGTTACTAAAGCGTGCGCACGAGAAAGTAAAACGTGGCCACGTTTTATTTATTTTTCTCTCTATGAACCCTCCAGGGCTCCGTAGCTATTCAACTTTGTTTCAATGAATAAGAATCAGATATGCCTGGTTTAAAAAAAGTTTAGGCTACTGTATCCAAAGGTCGAAAACAAAAGTTCTCCTAATTCATAAATAACTATTAATCCACCCGAGCAGTGAAAAAGTACATCACTGTTCTCCAAGCCAAGGTCCAGCCACAGATGTCCTCACAGATGTGCTACCCAGTCCATCCTCCCTGCTTATGTGCTGCACCTGGACCGTGGGGGCCTCATATCAAGACATCGATATAATCAAAGGCTTTTCCTCCTCTCGTTTGGTCAGCAGATTTGAGATCATGAAGGATGAGAAGAAACAAAACTGAGCTCAAACAGCTCCAGGTTGACGCTGAACATCCACTCAAATATAGCCGACAAGTGAACGTAAAAGTACTGGTCCTGGGCAAACAAAACAGTATCTGAAGGGTTAATAATGTGTACTACTGCATATAGATGAAATTGTTTACAGTGTACCATAAAGATGCTGACAGAATTAGGTGTGCTTTTCACTGTTTTCTTCCTAACAAAAACTGTAGATAATGTTGCACGCCTCTCTTGGTTGATGCAAAGAAAAGATGATATTCATTGTGAAATGATTTTGCTAATAATGTATCTTTATTATCTGTAATTCCAGGATGTATATTACCTTCTTTTCAAGTAAAGGTTAAGTGCTTTGCATTAAAACCCGAAAGCATGTTGTCTTGTTTAGTGGGCATTAAAAATACGTACACTTGTGAGTTACTGTATGTCTAGCAGCCTGTTATAACTTTGGCACAAATATTGCATTAAAGTAGGAGCCCATCACTACAGAAACGGGAGAAAATACATGTCAGTAAGTTACCTATAAATGTATCTTTAAAGGTACATTACATTGAGGAATCCTTACTCTAGTTTTCACGTAAAAAAGATTCACCCACCACGCCTAAAACTAGTACATTCTTCTGGAACGGTAACCTGGTGAGGATTTTAACGTCATTGTTTTCAGAACACACTGACAGATCTATTATTCGGCTGCCCCTTAGTCATGCAGTCAAACAGGATTTAGTGACGCCACAGGGACTGAAAATACCTGAACGGGTTGTTTTTTATCTCACTCCGCCCTAGTACCACACTTCAAGGTACAATCAGCAGAGTAACAGGACTTGAGAGTGTACACAGTGGTCATGATTTAATAAAGTGTCAAAGCTATATACAAGTGCTTAAGGAATATAATTGGAAGCTGACATCAGTGACATTTTCAGTAAATCTGATCCTTATCAGTGTAACTAATGAGGAATTGTTCATGTTAAAATAGTATAACAAGTCATTGCACAATACAACTGATAAACGTATAAGGATTCTTAGAGTGTAACATATCAAAGTTCATTGTTCTGTTGGCAGAGCATCAACATGATAAAAGGAATTTATCATGTTTTGTTCATTTGCTATTCAACTTTGTTTCAATAAATAAGGAATAAGAATCAGATATGCCTGGTTTAAAAAAAGTTTAGGCTACTGTATCCAAAGGTCGAAAACAAAAGTTCTCCTAATTCATAAATAACTATTAATCCACCCGAGCAGTGAAAAAGTTCATCACTGTTCTCCAAGCCAAGGTCCAGCCACAGATGTCTTCACAGATGTGCTACCCAGTCCATCCTCCCTGCTTATGTGCTGCACCTGGACCGTGGGGGCCTCATATCAAGACATCGATATAATCAAAGGCTTTTCCTCCTCTCGTTTGGTCAGCAGATTTGAGATCATGAAGGATGAGAAGAAACAAAACTCCACAGCAAAGCTGAGCTCAAACAGCTCCAGGTTGACGCTGAGCATCCACTCAAATATAGCCGACAAGTGAACGTAAAAGTACTGGTCCTGGGCAAACAAAACAGTATCTGAAGGGTTTCAAGTTAAGGATGCAACGCAGTCAGTCCCTTAAAAACCTGTCATTGTAAAGAGCTCCTGAGATCAGTTCATGAGCATTGGCAAAATCCCTAAACACTCCATTACAGTAAGAGAGAAAATAAAGATGTATCAATACACAAAATACAAGAAGCCAGCTGTTTTCACCCTGTAGGCTAGTGTGTATATAATAATAATACTAGGGCCGGGACTTTAACGCGTTAATTAAGATTAATTAATTACACAAAAATTAACGCGTTAAAAAAATTAACGCATTTTAATCGCACTTATTTTTGCACGGCGGAACGTTTCTCACTGGATGTGGATGAGTTTCAGGCGTACCGATTATACTGGAGCACCAACTAACGTTCATGACTTCAGACAACAACAAACCACAGTGAACAACAGTGGGAAATGTTGTTTTAAAAAACGGACGGATGGAAGCGTCGATAAGAGCACGGTTGTGTGCAAATTATGTAAAAAGGAATTCGCATATCACCGCAGCACATCAAGCCTCAAGTATCACCTCAATGCAAAACATATAGCAGCTAGCGTGGACGTTAGCCTCTTTTATCGCGTTCACACCAAAAAGAGCTGGTACTAAAATTAGTTAATGAGAACCTTTTTACCCCCAAGGAAATCTAGAGAGCTAGAGAGCAGGGACTTTCGTACGGCTCTCTTGTGAGAAAAGAGCTATATGTCTGATTGGCTGGGCGGATTGCAAACCACGCCCCGTAAAACTCCCAAAAAGTTTTGTGAAGCCGCCATTTTATTATCCTCGCATTAGCATTATTAGCATTAGCCCAGCGCAGAAACGCAGAGAGACTAACTTATGGCAACACAAAATAAAACATGGGAGCGGTGGAGACGAGGAGGTGTCGGCGTTCTGGCGATTTACTCGGAAGGCTTCAGTAGAAGCTGCTGGGACTCCCAGCAGCTTCTACTGAAGCCAGTCCCCAACTCCGGGGACTTCCGGCCGGGGACTTTGGGCGGCAGTATACGCCGTGAAGTGGTTTGCCCAACCCAAAGCAGAAGAAGAAGTGACGTCAGCGGCTTCATTTGCCTAATCCTCCCCCAGGTTCAAAGAGTTCTCATGAACCTTTGTGGGAAAAGTACTGCGGTGTGAATGCGCCTAATGGTATACTAAAATCCATGTGAAAAAAATTGCTTCTCACTGTTCTCAGGTCAAATATTTATATGTGATTAAAAATGCGATTAATTTCGATTAATTAATTACAAAGCCTCTAATTAATTAAATTAATTTTTTTAATCGAGTCCCGGCCCTAAATAATACATTACATTTATAAAGTGCTTTTCCTGGTGCTCAAAGCGCTTATATTAAACTTTCACTTGGAGGTCTAATCCCCAAACATAGAGGTGTAACCAGCTATTGTAAGCTTTAAAATCAAAATGTAACTGCTCTTGTTGTAGTCAGAGACGGTTGTAGCCTGTCCCACTTTATAAACACTTCAGCAGCAGACCGGATCCAGATATGGCACAGGGGAATAGTGTACTGCAGAGCAGCTGGACTATCTAATGGACACGTCACTGCTAGAGTCAATTGCTGGAATATCATGCCTAAAGCTTCACTAAATTAATGTTTACCATGTTTACTTTCATCTAACCTGCTTTACCAGCTCACTGCACACCTATCATCCTATTGGTGCAAAATTGCCCTCAAATAGAAGAATTGTGAAGAATACCTACCACACAAAAGACAAGTTAACATAGCTCCAACATTTATGAAAGGATACAGCAGATGGTAACGATGGTTTGAACCACAGTGGAGACGATGCGGAGCGGATAGAGAGCCCTCTCATATCCTGTCAGCACACACTTGCCGGTCAGTGAGGTGAGCAACACAGTGGAGAAGCAGATACACATGAAACTGATGGCAGCTCCGAAGTAGTGAGGCAGTGCCAGGTCACCCGGCTGTGGAGCACAGAGAGGAGTTTCCAGAGTCAACAGATACATAGAGTAAAGAGATTAGATATAAATCAGGGCAGAGATCAATGTAAACATTGATACATGCATGGATGAGCGTACATAAAATCTGTACTAATGAACTACTCACTTCAAACAGACCCATCTTAGGTGTTAAACTGTTGCGGTGTACCAACTTGTTGTAAACGTGGCTTGTGCTCTTAATCACTACAGCTGACATTGAACAAATAGTTACCCACCTTTGTTTGCTGTTTCAACACAGGTGCAAATGGAAGCTTTATTGTCAGCATTATATGATGTAGTAAAATGTGTCTCACAGAAACTTACAGTATGATAGCAATTTAAAGCTGCTATTTAAACATCTTCAAACATTTAACAGGAAGTGAAGTACTTACATTACAGTTTCCAGCTGTGAATGCCCCCAAGGCTGCCACCACACCAAAGACCAGCGCAAACTTGCTCAGCATGGAATGACATCTGTGTCTCTCCATAATATGAGCATGGTGGAATATACAGAAGAGCAGGACTAAAGAAGAGAGATCACAGATGTTAGAACACATATCAGGAATAGCATAAATAATGTGTAAGGCAGGTAAACTCACACAGAAAGGATCCTGCGTTGATCGTGGCTGTGAAGAGTGAGTTTTCTGGTGATTTAGTTCCACTTGAGCTAGAATACCAAAATAACGTTGTTATATGTAATAATGTAATGTTAATTGTTTCACTAGTCCATTCAAAACATTTTATTTTCCCAACACAATTAGGATTTTCTTTAATATATAAAAATGCAAGAAAAAGCTTCACATATTATGATGGTTTGAAAATGCAAAACTATAGCTATACCGAGTATGATAAAAATGATAACGGCATGAGAAAAGGAATGTGCTAAAATTGGATTTGTAAAAGGTAAAACAGTGCATTTCTAAATGTTTATGTGGGCTCAATATGCTTTAACATATCCATTTTAATAGCAGATTGTGCATATGCAAACCAAAATCTGTTGCACGCAAAAAATTACATTTATTCTGCACATTAATTATTCTATTCTCACCTTATAGTGGGAACCAAGCAACATCCAGTGGTATGATTTGCTTTGCAATAGTTGTCACTCCCCCTGAAAACAAATGAATTAGCTTCTGAGGAATCTGCCACATTCAAATGCTGATGGTCAACTTTTTACAATACTGAGACACAACTCACCAGTCACTGAGAGAGCACACATGTGTGTTAGCTAACGCTAGGCCATATCTGGAAAGATAAAACAAAAGCAAAAACATATCAGTATGGTAAATATATATGACTTGAAATGTGGGCTCAATTACACTCTGATTTAATATAAAGGAACATTCAAACTACTGTATGGTAGATTTTGCATTACTGTGTAATACCAAATAAAAAAAGCATTATCTTCCAATGTTTTTGAATAAAAGTAGGACTTAAGTCATTCCTTTCCACTGAATCTGCTCATGAGGATTTCTGGGAAGGTAATATATATTTGCGAACTCTTTAAAACCTACCAACATGCAATAAACGACAATAGTTTAAAAAAAAGGATTACAGCCTCTAAGCTCCAATGATTTTGTTGTACGGCTCACCTTTTGATCACCACCAACATATTTGGTGTTCATTCAACCCTATCTTGTGGTTTTTCATCGAAAAATCATCATAAATGTATCTTGCATTAAACTAAAACAAGTTCTGACTCCACTCTCAAGAATGGACTACTGTAACATGGCAAGAAACTATACCAAATATCACTAAATGACAAGGCAGAATAAATAAGTATATTTCTTGAAATTCTGGTGTGAGCACACATATCAACAGACAAACAAGCCGTAGGACTTGTTTGATGACTGCTGTTTCATAATATGTTCAATAGTATTAGCTCTCGAGCTTTCTCATGCTGCTCTGACTTATCTCTTACATATACACTTTCAAAGTTGAAATTATATTCAAAGCATGTGAAACATATATCTGCCAGACATTACTTTATGCCATCTCACAACTTCCTGTTCTGTAATCAGTATTACTACTGGAACTTAATGTCCTAAAACAGGAATATACAGATGAAATACAAACTTTGATTATTATAAAGTGTCATTTTCAATAGTGCCAAACATGAAAAACAGTATCATGGAACCTTCCTAACACATTGTGGTTCTTGCTTCGTGATCAGCTTAAGGCTTTCATATGTAAATTATACAATGAACAGAAGTATATAACAGAATAAGAAATACTTGAAAAACAATTCACCAGAGCGTAAAGACAATTAAGGAAATGTGGATCTTTGGTTAACTTACACAGTCCATGTTCCAATGAAGGACACCAGGGAGAGGGATATTGGGAAGATAATCCAGAAAACCATGTCTTGGTGGTGAAGAAGGAAATAAACTAATTAAAAAAGGGATTCCTCAAGTCCAGTTGTCTTAAAAGCACTCAATGATAGACCTCTTCAGGAGTTCCTCATGAAGACAGCCTCATACCTACAGATCAAGATTAGTACTGGAACAAAAAAAGTCCTAATCCTATGATGTCAGTGTAGTTCAGGTTTTTCAAGCACACAATTGCCTTGCTGCACTCAGCGACAGTCTTCCACCATCCAGAAAGCCCTGCTTTTATGGGAGAGTCATTCTTTCTCTGCCACTCCTTTTGAGCACCACCTTTCCCTGTCAGAGGTAAACGTTGGGAAAAATGGGGCTGGCCTTCTTTGCGCAATCTCGTTGCTTGTTTAATTCAAAGAACTGCTCTATCTGAAGTCACTCTACAGTTTGTTATAGATGACTCTGGGTTTTATATATGCACTCTTCTATAGATGTGATAGTATGTGGGCATACAGACACACAATATAAGAGTTACTAGAACAAACTAATCTCAGAACTCTGAATGTTATTTTAGGAATGCTTTAAATTATCAAGTGACAGGCTTTGTTTTACCTGTTGTAAATGTTGTGGAATGTAAGTAGCCTGCATGTACTTTATATAGGCTAACTATCACTATCATTTGTACAAAAATAAAAAGGCTGTTCTCAGGCTCCTGTCAACAATGCTCATACAGTAGGGTTTAAAGAGAAAATCACAATTAGGAATCTCAGAATTAATTAGCATCAAACAATGCAGTACAAGTTTAAATATAGGACTAATTATGAATATATTAATATACATATATATATATATATTAATTATTAGTATATAAATATTACACTAATAGATTTATTATGCAGCAGATATGACCTTATTTTTTTACGAAAAATTATAATTATAAATATATAATAGTATTTTATCCCTTTTTTGTTATGTTAAATTGTCTGGTTTGTGCTCTTAATACCTTAATTGTTACACTAGGCAGGCAAGGCAAGTTTATTTATATATTCACTAGGGAAATGAAGAGTCAGATATCAGGATCTGGATTTTGTGCTGTCCTCATTTTCAAAACAAACAAAATGGCGGCGCATGTGAGATGGGGTCTTCTACGGTTGTTACGGGCAAGAAATACGGCTCATTTTAGGTTTGAACCTCTACACATCTGACATTTTATTTTCTACACACATTTTGTTTCGCTGATATGGAAAGTAGCAACACTTTCGTAAAGCATGGACGTGACATTCAGACGTGTGGTTGACATTAGCTAGCTTATTAGCTAACTATCAAACTGCGACACTAGATAGGGTTGAAACTCTTGTCCATATATTTACAGGTGAAGATATCAAATCGGCAGATTTAGTCATTTCTACTTCGTTTCGTCTTTGATTTTACGTTTACGTTTATCCATATCCCAAGGTTGTAAGTTAGCTGCTAACGATAGCTTGCTAGGGCTGTACACTTTAAATCAGTACAATGACAAAGCGTCTCCCTTTCAAACTGTGAAATAAAACAGCTAAGGAAACGGATGTTGCTTTCATCCATCAAACCCCGCTAATTGTGTACTGGTTCTCAAGAAGTGAAGACTTGTGTAGACTGACAGTTTTGGTCAAATGTTTTTACGTTTCAAGGTTTCCAGTGAAGACCCAAAGCTCGTACCTCTCTTTGAGCTCGACCCAGATCTTCAGAAAAGTTCAGCCTCAGCTCTGGACAGGAAGCACACACTTCTCAAGTGAGAAGCCAATGTTTGGACACCTTGAAACATTAACGTATTCTCTGCAGGTTGTTTCTTAAACATGACCAAATTAATACTGAAAAATATGTTTATAATATCTTTCAGCAAGACACCTGTCCATCCAGACTCAAGACACTCCAAACCCCAGAAGTTTGAAGTTTCTCCCTGGAAAACCTGTCCTAGGAAGTGGGACGCTTGACTTTCCGACTCCGAGCACAGCTGAATGTTCATCATTAGCCAGGTTGAGTGTCATGATTGTTGAACTTTGTTGTGTGTGTGTTGTTTCTGGTTTTACAATATAGAATTATTTAAGGAAATCACAATTCATAGAAGAAGTGTCATGTTTTTGAAATCATCAGATTCTGCACACTCATATAACACTGATGGATGTATGTCTACTCACGATGTCTGTTTGAAAAAAAGCTAAATTGTATTGATTTAATGGGTATTGATCTTCATAAGTTAAAGATATGCATTTTTTGTATGAGTAGGGGTTTCCTCTTATAAACAATTGTTTGATACTGAATATTGTCTTCATTTAGCAATACATGATTTTGTTGTAATTTGTTCGAAGTGACACAGTAGAATAATACATACAGCAGATGTGACGAATGCACCAGCTGACAGCATGGGAATAGCTTGTAAGATGTTTTGTTTGCTGATACATAAAGTATTTGACAACAACTTAAAAAGCAGTGCAATCATCAATGACACACTTGATAAAAGCCAATCCGAGCGGAAGTTGTTATCACTAAATGAACCAACATGAAGATAGACTCCATGCTGTCATTGGTATGTTTTCTTTTGTTGGAACAATAACATGATTAGATGTTTCTTTCAGGGAACTGTTTGAAATTGAAGGAGTAAAAAGTGTGTTCTTTGGCCCGGACTTCATCACAGTCACTAAAGTAAGTATCAAATGTACTCGTCATGCATTACCATGAAATCTGTGTGGTGATACAACACGTGAGATCTTTGTTTTCTTATCAGACAGATGAGGATGTGGCATGGACAGACATTAAGCGTCATGCTTCGGAGGCCATTGCTAACTTCTTTGAGAGTGGTGATCCAATAACAGTAGGAGCAGTACACCATGAAAGCAGTGAGTTTATAGTATTAGTGATCTTAGAGTTATATGTCCGCTTGTGTAAATATCTTCAAACTGTTCATTGTTTTCATTGTAGGTATTTCTGAAGATGATGATGAAATCGTATCCATGATAAAGGAGCTTCTTGACACCAGAATAAGGTACAAAACCTATAACTTTGAGATCCATTGAGGTTATAATTAGCAAAACTGAGAGTGTCCGGCACTGCTATCGACTTTACAACAGCAGTGGAACTACATGTCATCTGTCATGCACTGGACAGACTTATCCAATATTTCCTCTCGGATATTTTTGTACTCAACACTCATAACAATGATGCTGAGATAGCAGTCTTAATCTCTCTGTCCTATGTGTTTCCTATGTTCTGAACTAATTGATATGGTGTGTATTGCTCACAAGACCTACAGTGCAGGAGGATGGAGGCGATGTCATCTTTAAGGGGTTTGAGGACGGCACGGTCAAGCTGAAGCTGGTTGGTTCCTGCACAGGGTGTCCCAGTTCTACCGTTACCCTGAAGAACGGCATTCAGAACATGATGCAGTTTTATATCCCGGAAGTAGAAAATGTGGAGCAGGTGATTATTTGTATGGATTAGCAGACATTTGTGCAGGTTTTTGTGTGAGACTATGCCTCAATTATGTTTCATTATGAATTGGTTTCATACGTTTCTGTGAGGATTATTGTGAAGGAAATTGTGCTGTGTTCTCAATTCAATTTCATTTGTGGGCTCTTAAGGCTGAGCAATGTCACCAGACTGTACATTTTCAGTCTGTGGGTGCGTTTTTCCTCGTTACCTACTACTTTTCTAAGTTGAGTGTTTGTCATGATATGACTGTACATAATTTACCATCACATTTAACATGTCATCAATTATCTTTTTTGACCAGGTGGAAGATGAAGTTGATGAAATCAATGCAAAGGTTTTCTCAGAGCTGGAACGCAAATTACAAGAATAAAAACGTCTTGGACCGACTCCCTTATGCATCTCGTTGTAGGAAGAGTATATTCCACTGTGTAAATACACAGCATAATTCCCAGTAGGGCCATTCTATAATATGAATGGAAAGAGAAAATGATCCCCCTGCTATTTTGTGTGTATGCTATACTACTAGAGTTCATGTTCATATGTGTACATACTGTATGCCCCTGTTATCAAGATAGCAATTACAGGAAAATACCTGTATACAGAAAATACTTTGAGCAGGTCAAAATGTTCTAATGTGATTGCTGTAAATGTTGTGATGTATTTATTTCTTATAAATATTTTATATTTTGAAAGAATATTTTCATAGAATGGACGTATGTGAAAAGTGAAATGGTTATGCTCATGCAGAATGAAGGTTGGATACATATTTCCATTGTTGCTGCAATATAACAACAGAAAAATAACTGAACTATAAGTTAGTGTGCTGTGTAACTCCCTTTAAGACCTTTGTGCTATTTATGTGCTTTGGACTTCATTATTCCAATGTATCACTATCAAACAACAAAGTTCACATATTGAAAGCAAATAGTTGTTGTTGACTCCCTTTGTCTAGCTACTGTTATTTTCTCCCAGTGTCAATTCGTCCCACATAGAGAAAACACTAGAAATAACTAAAGCAAAGGCTACTGAATTGTCACAGTCTTTACACTTAACAATTATTAAATAACAGAATAATATTTCATATTAAATTGATAGCTATTGACAAATAAAAAAGTATTTACTACTTTATTGAATCTCTGCTGAGAGCACTGGTTCCCAACCTGTGGGTTTGCAAAAGCTTAATATGGTCATCATGAAACCTTGGTTTTAAGGTGTGTAATACAACTTTTTTTATTGGCTTATAATTTACAATACAATTTAATTTGAAGAAAACTAAATACAATTGTGGGCATGAGAACAACTGAACACAATCTGCTAAAAGGCTTGCCCTGCATTAGAAAAGTCAAAACAGAGGTAATAGAATAATTGCCAAACCATAGGGAGGGGAAAACACCGAATTATTAAACAAAAAATGACCAAAAAGCCAAGGACATAAACAATTCATAAATACAACAGGTAAACTGATCTCTGATACAATTATTGACAACAAATAATCTGCTTAAAAATCATCCAAATTGTTTGTTTTACACAAACTTCCTGTCGTTGTTGCTTTTAGTATTCGGGTAAACTTTACAATTCTTCAGTTCTTTCTGTATTTTTATGTTTTGCATAGTGATGAATTATAACTGATATTAGGAGTGAGGTCGTCAAGGAAAAAGGTTGGCAGTTGAGCTGAGTCGGTTCTTCTTCGCGCATGCTCAGTTCATGTCTACATCGGCCGGCGCAGGGGACATTGGTAAGCACTGCTGACTATGTTTTACGCAAGACCTTTACTGCTTTAATTATTCGGAACACTTAATGTGCGATTATTAGTTGCGTGCAAGGGAATTGGTGCTATGAATGAATGTTTTATATTATAATTTTAAACATTGGTCGTTTCAGTGCCATCTGCGGCCTCGCATTCGTTATCCAATCCAGCACGAGGCTAATCTGGCAACAAAGCTAACGGCATCACAACGTTAGCTAGCAACGCATAGCTCTTAGCGTTTTATCTTTTTTTTTTTTACAATACCATAATGCGTTTTAATGTTGTATTAGCTTACAAAGGCATGTTTTTATGTTTTTTATTTTATGTGTTATGTTAACCAAGCCACAATGACCTGGTCAAAATATGTTTTTGACTAGCTGGTCTGTCAGTTGCAGTTGCTAACGTTAGCCAGAAGTCGCTGTGTCAGCAGTTATTAAGCTACGGAGCTCTGCAGAAATCACGGGTAACCAATTTTGCTATTGAAATTGTACGGAAGTAATTACGTTGTTCTTTCGACGTACTACATCTTTCTCTCGACTTGATTAATTCAGTCCCTCGTGTTTGGCAATTGGCGTCAATATATATCAAATTAACCGTACGAACTAAGGTTAATGGCTGTAGGTTGTCCAGAAAGTGTTTACTTCATAATAAGGAACATAGCTTATTTCCTGGTGCCCTGTTCCTCATTTTGACAGCAAGTTTTAGAGGTGCTAATATTACATTGGACCTTGTTTTAGTCCTGCGTGTTGCTTGCTGCATATCCTTGCCTGCAAATGCAAACACGTCTCCCTGTTCAACCTACCCCCCAACGTACTTTACGGTTTGTGTTAAATGATTACAAATCCTTTACCCCTGGCTAATTTGTTATTTTTTTCCTCGGCTTTGTTTTTATTGAAAAGCAACGGCTTGGTGAGCAGAGAATACCCTTAACCTGAATGAGTCATGGCCCAATTCGGGGGACAGAAGAATCCGCCGTGGGCCACGCAGTTTGCTGCCACAGCGGTGTCCCAGCCGGGTCACTCGGGACAGCCTCTTGACCTGAATAGCTTGCATTGTGAGTATAGCAAACAAACAAAAACCTCTCTTATTAGGTGCGTGGTAACAATAACGTATATAGCACATATAAACGTTTCCCCCATTTAGTTTTAACTCCCATTTTAATCTAATGCCCTATTTTCCTTCTTCATAGCTCTTGGAGTGCAGCAGCCATCTCTATTGGGAGCATCTCCCTCTGTTTACTCTCAACAGTCAGCCTTGGCTGCAGCCTCTCTCAGCAACCAGTCTGCTGCAAACTATCAGCTGTCTCAGCAAACTGCTGCCTTGCAGCAGCAAGCTGCAGCAGCTGCTGCAGCAGCACTACAGCAGGTCAGTCACACAGTACTAAAGCACACTCAGCAATCTATGCAGCTTTCTGTAGTCACATGTAATCGTTCTTCATTGTAATCAATCACTATCTCTCCCATGTTTTCTGTAATGTATATAGTCTCAGCTTAATTCAGCCCTCCAGCAGTATCAGCAGCAGCAGCAGCAGCAGCAACAGCAACAGCAGCAACAACATCAACAACAACATCATCAACAACAACAACAACAACATCAACATCAGCAGCAACATCAACAACAGCAGCAGCAACCCCCTCCACAGCAACTGTACAATGTTCCTCATCAGGTGAAACATAGGAGCATTTTCTTTTCACACTTTATTTTGGGCATTCCTTTGATAATACTTATCAACGCAAACAAATTATTTGGCTTATCCTAGATATAATGAATGAAATGGGCATTATTTGTGCCGTAATTGCTTCACATGGATCGTGATGCGTCAGCAGAAGACTTAAATGTTAGGAAAACTAGGTCAGGTCATACTGCAGTAAACTTATGCCCAAAGCATTGCTCTTTCTGTGGTTAATATTACCCGTTAGTCTTTTAAATGGACTCCTGTATAGGCCTGTCAGGATCATTCATTTTGTTGGATGATACATTTTTCTGGATATTATTGCGATAAACGATAATATTGTCGGCACTGTTGTAAGACCATTTTAGACCACTGACATAATGATGATCTATAATAATAATTAAAGTACATCCTTTCAAACATCACTTTTTATTGAACATTCAACATTGCAAATGAAATGTAAAATAATATTAAAATATATAAATTATATATAATAAATAAAACAAATTAATTAAATCACACACAACCAAAACAATAAATTAGTCAGACTGGAAAACAGAGCTCTCTATCTATCTATATATATATATCTATCTCTATATATATATATATATATATATATATATATATATATATATATATATATAAATATATAAATAAATAAATATGAGCACACATTATCTCACAAGCAAAAAAAACCTCCTTAAAACAACAGTCAAGTGTACAGTCCACTGTCAAAGACCCAGATGCCTCAACAGGCCATATCCAAATCTGTATTTCAAAGTTTTCGAGCAGGGAACACCAACATGTTTGCATTGTCGGGCAAATGCATCTTTGATTGTAAACTGTCGGGAAGGTGGTGGCTCTCCATCTCCAGCTGCCGTGTTTGCTACCAGCTGGGAAAACGGAATGGGGTGGTTGTGTTTTAGGTGTAGTTTAAAATGCGTCGTATTGCCTGCTTTTGTCGCTACCTTTTTTAAACAAATGCGACACACCGCCCGGCTCATTCAAGTCCGTTGGTTCGTCTCGTTGATTTGGCTTGAATCCAAAATACTGCCACACCGGAGAATCGAGATGTGTAGTTAGGTTTTGTAACCAATTTTACTTTAAATTCCCCGCAAGTAAGTCACACGTTGTCGCTATATTATTAATTTGGCTGCTGCACGCGGAGTGTCCTGACCTGGCTGTGTGTCAGCCCCGCCCCTCACAGCGCGCGTGGCCGGCAGCCACAGCGCTCCTGGCTAAAATGCTGGTCACATCCTTATGTAAACGGCAATTTATCGAGCTCAGAAAAGTTATCGAATCCACTTTTATTTATCGTACGATAAGTCAATTTTATCGATTATCGCGACGGGCCTATTCCTGTAATTTACATTATCAATTTTTCCTCATACATTTTGTCTTGAGGCAGATCATGTCAATGTGCTGGGTAATGTGATACGACTGCCCAAGTAGCAGTGTGTGTATACAACATTACTAATTATATATCTTGCTTCCATTAGCAGGATTCATCAGTAAACATGCAACCGGCTGTAACAGGCTGTACAGAACTGTTATGAGAGAGTGGCAAATCTATAATGTCAACTAAATGTTTACTCTTTGTATTTTCTTTATTTCTTCACAGCTTCCACAGCCTCAACAGGCACTGATCCCTCAGGTAATTTACACATACTAGGGATGCTCCGATCGATCGGCCGCCGATCGATATCGGCCGATATTCACTCTCTGCCGATCGATCGGCGCTCTCTATAAAGGCCGATCAGGAGAGCCGATCACATGACGTAAAATACATGACACTTTTCTCTGTGTGCGGCAAAACAAGCTCGCCAAAATGGCTTCACCGGTCTGGCAGTATTTTAAGGTGTCCGAAAAAGACTGTAAAATAGCCGTATGCACCGTGTGTGAAGCAGAAATCCTGCAGCTCCACCCGCTGTGACGGACCGGTGAGCGGAGCGAAACACACAAAAGTTAGACCTAACACACTTAACTATTTGATCTACCTCTGGAACAAGCTAAACTAGTTATAAATATGTTTATTCTTCACTGTCGGGTCACTCATTACTGGATCAGTGAGCTACATGAAATACTGACAGGCTGTCAGGAGAGAGAGAGAGAGGGGGGGGAGGAAAAGAGAGAGGCTCCCGTTATTTCTCCCATGTTATTATCCAAAGTTAATGTAAACTTGAATAATGTACTTCATTTGAATGTAATAATTATGTTGGTTGTTTGTGGAAGCGCCAGTGAATGAGCCCCATTAACTGAGTTTTAAACATCACTTTAAATGGAAGATCCCTATAGCCCCCACCCACTCGATCGGATCTGCGATCGGTATCGGCCGATACTCATTCCGGCGATCGGCCCCAAAATTGACGATCGGAGCATCCCTAACACATACATTTGCTATATTTATGTTATGTCTAAGAAACTAAAACCAGTCTTGCAATTGGGATTTAATGACTGATTTCATCAAAGATCTCATACATATATATTTTCTCTATGTGTATCATGTTCAGGGTCACAAGGGGACAAACCATATCCCAGCATGCATTGAGTGAGAGGGTGGTTGTGGGGCAAATAATCGATGACATGCATAATGCTCAGCCCTTTCTTTTTACAGCAGGGATTTGAAACTGCAATCAGTTTCCATAGAAAACAAGCTCAATGCATTTTTGCCCTTTTGTGATGATGATATTTAAAGGTTTCTAAATTGCTTTGTGTTTAGTTTATTTCTATAACGTTTTGATTTATTATAAAATGTGTCTCCCTTTGCATTCTAGCACACAGTTTCCGTGTTATTGGTATTTACTAATTACCTGCAACTAAGGTAAACATTTTGCAACTGGTAGCAGTTTTTTGGACCTTTCTTTCTTTCTTTGACCCCCAGCCCCCCGTCGCTTTGCCCACCAGCCTCAGCTTGTCCAACCCGCAGCAGACAGCCCAGATAACGGTTTCTTACCCAACACCACGTTCAAGCCACCAACAGCAGACGCAGCCTCAGAAGCAGCGAGTCTTCACTGGTGTCGTCAACAAGCTACATGACACATTCGGCTTTGTAGATGAAGATGTCTTCTTTCAGCTAAGGTAAAACAGAACATCTTGTAGAATATATGTCTGGTGCAAATAGTGTGATGATTTAAATGTCCTTAATGTAATTGGTAATAGTTTCTTTATTCTATACATGACATTGACATCACCTTTTTCTTATGTCAGTCTTTTTGCCTGGTCAATATCCATTTTTAGAAATAATAATGGACACAGTTATAAAGAATACATGTTTCATTTTAATTTGTAACTCATGTGATTTGACATGTAGAGAATTTCTGAATGGCTTTTTAAAATCTTTTTCAGTGCTGTAAAGGGGAAGACTCCTCAGGTGGGGGACAGGGTCCTAGTGGAAGCGGTGTACAACCCAAACATGCCCTTCAAGTGGAACGCCCAGCGCATCCAGACCTTACCTCAGCTATCAAACCAGTCGGTGAGAAACTCAATGGTTTACCATCATTCATAAAGGACATGATAAGATTGTTGGGTACACAAGTACAAACTGGTGGTTTCTACTAGAATGTTTATAAACGTTTAGATTTATAATAATCGGCACAATATATGTCCTTTTTACCCAAATCCTTTCATGGTTCAAAAAGGCCATCTCCTAAACATTCTGCATCAACACATACATCGTGTAATTAATTATACGTGTAATAATATTTACACGACAGCCGATGATACTGCAAGTTGGGCCACATATCAACTCAAGTTCAATATATGTTGCCAGCAGTCTTTAAAATATTACAAAGTGTCTCTCTTTTGTATATGTTGGTTGTCTTTAATTCCTTTAAGGCGAGACACGGCAGGCAAAAACATCGTTTTTCATGCACTGGTCAATTTAGAGATTTTGTGCTATTTTGATTCCATAACATGTTTTCTTTCAGGCTTTTGGAAGGAAAACGTACAAAATACACATTTAAGTGTTTATTTTACTATAGTTTGTCTATTTGCGTCTGTAAATAGACAAACTAAATTCACCAAAAGTAAGCATTCTAACGTAACATAAAGTACCGCGACAGCTGTTTGCACCATGTCATGAGAGATATCGTTGGAAAGCTCCGTCTCTCCTGCACAATCTCACCGGATCCAAATATGGTCATTTCCTTTGTATCAGCAACCAATCGTGAAAGTACAAAGGGGTCTTAAAACATTGGCTGGTGTCAATTTCTGATAACGTGATTCGTTCAGATGCGTCACGTGGCGTGCTAAAACACTTCCTGGTTAGCTTTCCGCTTGAAATTTAAATCTCAAAATGCCAAAAGAACAGCGGAAAAAACGTTCACAGAGAAGACGACAACAATTGTCACTTGCACGAAGCAAGGTTATACAAAAAACGAATGACCCCGAACATGAAATACCTTCACGGAGTGCGTCGATGCGCTAGCTATCATCCAAAGAACAGGAGGGTTTAGCTAGCGCCTCACTGCAATCTTTAAAGGTCGTTTTCTCAAAATGAGATTTTTCTCCTGCTCTTGAGTCAGAAATGTCCACTTCAGTAGCACGTACATACACCAAACCTTCCATTTATATTCCTATCAATATTATGAAGGCTTTTACTAAAGGGTTTGTTCATATATCATTCATAGCCTGCATTATACAACATTCAGGGTGTCCGCGGGGTCTTAAAAAGTATTAAAAGTTGATAAATCAATTTAGCGAAAATTAAGGCTATTAAAAAGTATTAAACGGCATTTTCCAAGGTATTAAGAAGGTCCACAGCAACGACAACATGAAACACCCTTTAATTTACTGAAACAACATGTCGGGAAACCCCCTCAAGGTGGCCCCATGCAACCCATGCTCCGCTCTGTGGTGGTTATCTGCTGGTGGACTACCTGAGAGATATACAGCAGGAGAACACGCCGTCCACCGCGGAGAATAAACAGAAGGGCAACCATGACAACCATGCTCCGGGGTCTTCTTCGCTGCTTTTGGTGTATTTTGTGGCGGCAGCAGCGCCACTTACAGGCCTGGCATATGTACTACAGCGTTTCCAGCGGTCTAGTGTGAACGGACACGTTAATGAATCGAATGCGTGTGAACGGAAGACTTTTTTGCGTATGCGTTTTACTGTATGCGTTCTCGTAGGGCCGGGGTCTAAGCCAAACTATATCCGGTCACACAGATCTGCTATTTTAAAGTAAGGTCAACACATATCGACCCTAAATATAGTCTATATTAAGAACGAGAAAAGTCTTAACATATATATCGTTTTTTGTAAACATAACAAATGTGTAAGGGTGATGACGTCAGAGCATCGTCCTATGTGCCGGGCTTAGCCCCGGACAGCCCCAGCCCAATTTAACCCCTGGGTATTTGTGAGGGAGCTCCTATATGGCATTACCCCGCTGAAGCTCACCAAAGTTTAATATATTTCATAGTTCAAAGTTTTGTCAATTGTTTTGTTTATTGGTCAAATACTGGTTTCTAATGGTTTCTGAGGAGTTCTACTGGAATGAAAGAGCACAGAGTACAGAAGCAACAAAGCAGCATACTGCATTAAACCTGACCTTCACAGAGAGGTTGAAGTTCATGTGGAGAGGAGGCTTCAGTAGTCTGTCTGCACTCTGTTTAGTTGTGCTATCTTACAATCAATATAGTAAATGTGAGGTAAAGTGTGTCGCCAATGTAACCGGTTAGAACTCGAAGTTGCGATGAGGTCTTAAAATGTATGGAAAGGGTCTTAAAAAAGGTCTTAAAAGGTATTAAATTTGGCTTCAGGATTCCTGCATATACCCTGAACATTGTATTCCTAAAATCATGGCGAAAATGGATATTTTAGGGCTGTTGACAGTATTTTCTGATTTATGGAGTGATAAAAAGAGAGATCCAAAATCCCTTCTGTAAAAGCCTTAGATACTAATATGACTACAAAATGAAACAAGAATTTTGAACCTGGCTTTATCCAAAGTTCAGATTTGTGTTCCTAAAATGTGTTAAAATATGCGCATATGTAAGGCTCATTTGCATATGTAAACATGCTATTTCAGAAAAACTTGTAATACAAAAAACAATTGTCTTAATGTAAGTAATTAACTGGAGAAATGTCTAGCTGATATCTTCAAGTTAAAAAAATTACCCTATTCACCTGTAGTGTCTCGCCTTAAGAAATAAGCTAAATGGTAAATATGACAACTTATCTCTTTGAATAATATAAAAAATGAGATCGACAGGTTCATATTGAATCCTGGACAATTCATCTGGCTTAATCTGAAGAGGGTCTCCATGAGTGTCTTAAAATGTTGGGTTTATTTTTCAGATTTCTATTTGACCTGTACCTTAATTGACTGTTGTGTTCTCGATCCCTCCTAGCAGCAGCAGCATCAGCAGCAGCCTTTACCTCAAGCTTCCCCACAGCTCGGAAACCTTTACAATGAGCCAGGGATGCAGCTGCGCTACTCAGACATGCACTCCTCTTTGGACCACAGACAAAATGTAACCCCCCCCCCCCAGCCCTGAATCACATACTTTGTTGGTCCTTCTTCCTACTCAGTTTCTTTCTTTTCATTTTTTGTCTTTGTTTTCTGGCTTTCTTCTGTAACATGTTCATGTTTACCTATTACCATAGTTGCAGCTTGTTCTTAACTGCACTTTTGCTTGTTCTTTTAGTTTGCTGTCATTGCCAAATGGATAGAACCACATTTTGTGGTTTAATAATGCATTTCTTTATTTTAAGGAACATTAGTTCGAAAGCCTGTTTTTATACTGTTGTTTCATTATGTGGTTGATTACATCCTTTTTATCCAGGTTTTGAGTTATTGGTTGTAAAACAAGCTCCTGGGACTTTAACTTTGTTTCAGAGGTGCTTTCCACTTCAGGCGTCTTCATATTGAAATCAGTAAATCTCTCTACAGCGGACATTGCAGATGACAGGAAGAGTAATCTGCTGGATTACAGTATTTTTTTGTTTACAGTATTGGTTTGAAGTAGCACTCAAATCAATACTTCACCAATTGAATCAGTGCCTTATCAAACAAAAACATATGTTATTCTAATATATATTATTTTTTATATTATATTAATATTGGTGAATGTGGTTTCAGTGTGGCTGCTTGGTCACTACTTCAGCCAAAGGGCTATACTTGATTTAGGCACCAGCTTTTTCTTTGGCGTCTCTAAGAGATTAATAACATTTCTACAATTCTTTCAAGCAGATGTTCAGACCTTCTTTTTTGCAAGCAGCCACTAACCAATATTTTGTACATTTTCATCTTGTTAGTTGTTGAGCCGTCATTGTCATGTTAACTAAAGATTGTTTCAGGTCTGCTTTTAAACATTTGCTCACCTCACCTCTCTTTTATTGTCTTTTCCCACTTTTCTAGAGCCAGCCTCAACCTCCTAACATGATGAAGACAGCCCCCAACATGCTACAGTCGATGCCTCCCCCGAACACATACATTCAGACCCAGGCTCCCCCCCCTTCCCTCCTGCAAGCCCAGCTCTCCGCTGCCTCTCTGGCTCCTCTCCTCCAAAACCCTCCTCAGTCTCTGCTGCCACAGCCCCCACCCAAAGGTGAAATACTTAAGATTGCATTTGTCTTGTTTTAGAAATGAAACAAACAAGGGGTGATGAGCATCATTTTCTCTGCAGCGGTTTGGCAGGTGGCAATACCCAGGTCTGAAGAGTAAAGCTAATGCAGAAGTTCCTTCAACCTGCATACATTCTAATAGCCACCAGAGGGTGACTACACGAGTTGCAACAAAGGCAGATGGTCTCCACTGCCAGTTCTTAGGTCTTATATTATACAGTACAAAATTCATTTCTTGCATCATGGTCCCATTTATAGTAAAGAAAAGTATACTTTAGTCTGGTGCTACCTTGAAAGATAGCTACCATGGTGTTGTCTGATTTTGGGCATCGTCAGTGTTTCTATCATTAAGATTTAAAGCTTTCACAGTGTGTTGATGGAAGTTAATTATAAGGTTTTGGCTGCTAAATAATATCTTATTTTGTCTTTCCTCTTCACTTCTGGTCAAAATGTCTGTCTTTGTGGTATGAGGAGTGCTTTAACAAGATGATTTCCCTCGTCCCTAGATGTGTTTAGCGCTGGTCTGCTTCAGCCCCCAGTGAGAATGATGCCGCAGCCTGTCCGACGCATCGAGCCTCCACCGCGGTTCCCCAATCGCAACGATCGAGGCCCTGAGCTCATCCTCAGGACTAAAGAGGAACGCAGGTGAGATGTCGAAAGATCTCACCCCAGATAATCTGATATTTGTCACTTTCCCTGGCATTCAGCATAAGTTATTCATCTTAGTGTTTTTATACATCAATTTCATAGTCGAGACAGAGACCGCGAGCGGCGGCGATCGAGAGAACGCTCGCCCACACGCAAACGCTCCAGAGATCGCTCTCCCAGACGGGAACGCTCACCTCGACGCCCGCGCAGGGTCGTGCCTCGCTACACCGTCCAGTTTTCCAAGTTCAGCTTGGATGGGTAAGCACCATCTTCCAATATATCCTAGCTGTTTGTTAGCAACATATCACTGAAGTGTTGTTCAGTTTGGGTTGTGGAGGTAATAACTCTCCTCTGTGCGTTTTCCAGATCCAGCTGTGACCTGATGGAGCTGAGAAGGCGCTATCAGAGCCTCTACATTCCTAGCGACTTCTATAATGCCGTTTTCACCTGGGTGGATGCCTTCCCAGTGACGAGACCCTTCCAGAATAATAATGCCTGTAACTTCCACATCTTACACAAAGAGGTGGACCCTCTAGTCAAGAATACAGCTGTGCTAGACCCTCCTGATGCCAACCACACCTACAGTGCTAAGGTATGTCTGCCAGCGATAAATACATCTGGTTGTCTGGTATAATAAATAGCCTAATTGCTCTGTTAGTAGTAGTATAACTTCCGGCTCATCCTCTGGGTATTGTTAGTACCACGGTGTAAATTATTCCTTGTGCTAAGCTTGGCAATCTAAACCACTACAATAGAGGGGGCGGTGACATCTACCAATACAAACTAAGGCATAGAGAGATACTTAATGAATATAAATACACGGTGGGATAACTGTAATGTGGTATTTTTATGATGCAGGTGATGCTGCTGGCTAACCCCGGTATTGAGGAGCTCTATCACAAGTCCTGTGCTCTGGCAGAGGACCCGCAGGAAGTCAAAGACTCTTTCCAACACCCTGCTAGACTCATTAAGGTACATTACACGTGTAATGTTTGCATGAGCTGACAGTGATGTAATGATCCTATTACATTGCTTAGTACTCACAATATGGAAGGCTCTTAACTAGGAATGAGAACGATTAATCGAATATTCAAAATGATTCAGGTATCCAATATGAGTTATGAATATTTTTATTGGAATGTTTTTTTTTTTGGGAGGGGTGCCTAAGTTGATTACATATGTGACCCGCTCTATCGAAATCAGTCGGAAGTCGCAACGGCTCATTTCAAAATAAACGTGGATTTACATAAAAAACTATTTTTTCGGGGTTCGGGTGTTTTGTTTGATTTGAAACAAACAAAGTCTTGGCTTTCAGAATAGGAAACTTTTATTTCCAAAATCACACGATAAATACATTTTTGAAGCTTGTAAAGGGACGAAGACAGGCACCTCTCACTCGCAATCTGCTCTTCTAGCAGCGCCGCTCCCCCTCCCTCCGGCTGAAATTATGAATGTAAGCGTATAGTAATCATAGATAACACGGCAGGGTCCGTTACAGTTTGTTTTCATCTGATTTCAATTAAACAAAGTCTTGGCTTTCCGAATATTAAACTTGTTTCGGCAAATTCAGATGATAAATACAACTTTGAAGCTTCGGCATAATTACAAGCGGAGAACGGAGTAACTTAACGTCACAGCAGGCATAACAACAGCCGGTGTTTCTCGTGAGTGTTTCCCCCGGAAACAAACACAATACACACAAATGCAAAATTACACAAGCACACACACGTATACACACACTTGTGGAGCTTCCCCTCCAAACGAAAATATCTTCCCTCCGTAGTATTTTGATCATTTGCTAATAATCAATCAGATCGATGGATTCCAGAGAAGAGAAAACTTTGAAGGCCTTTTTCTCAAAATGATGACTCGGTGACAATCATTATATAATGTGACTTATTTCGCTTAATATTTGGAGTACAACAACAATCCTGATATCATTAGAAAGCTAGGAATATCCTCTTTCCAACAGTGTATACAACTCAAAATGTGTCTTTGGGTCAATGCGACTGATTTAGATAGAGCAGGTCACATATGATCAAATGGAATAATTCAATGTATACGACTGTGCCATAGCTAAATGTGTTAGGTCTAAAGGTGTGTTTTGCTCCGCTCACCGGTCCCTCACAGCGGGCAGAGCTGCAGGTGCTGATCTCTCTCTCTCTCTCGCGTCCGGTTATACTTCACTCACGTTTATGTCCAAATCCATCAGATCTAGCTAGTTCGAGCTAATGATATGGCTGCTGCCCCTCCCTACACGCAGATCACGCAGACTCAAACCTCCTCTTATGCCCAAATTCCAGCTGAGAGGGTCTTCTCTACAGCTGGCCTGATAGTGAATCGCCTCCGCACCCGCCTCTCCCCTGAGCAGACATGCTCATATTCTTAAAGAAGCATGAGTATTGAATAGCTGCATTCTGAAAAAATAAGAGAATCAATTAAAAACAGGTATGAAATACTATATGACATTAAAAAATGAATAAAGTTTGAAAGGGGAGTGATTTGTAAAATATCCATAAAGAAATAGTAAATCTGTTTACAGTTCTGTGTTGAGAGATGTATCCATAGATCTCTTCATTTTGCTCTCAAAGTGCACCAGATTGATGCTTTTAACTTCAATATTTAAAAATCTTCCCGGGGGAGCTTACCCCCGGACCCCCCTATGTGAGGTCCACACACCACCCATAAAAAATAGCACTTGACCCCTGCGTACATTGTGTATATGCGTGGGGAGTGTTGCAGTAGGAAATTCCACTGTAGCGCTGGTACATTATTGGGAAACCCTAAATGTTTGAGCACCCTCGATGAAACGTCAAGCTACCCCACAGCACCCCCATAATAAATCTCTGGCGCCGCCACTGAGCCTGACTATTTGTGTTGGGGGGGCCCGACTTTTTTTTTTCTCCAAAGGGGGGGCCTGACAGAAAAAGTTTGAGAACCACTGCGTTACCCTAACCCGTTATGTTGTTTGTGTATGATCCCTCTTTCATTTAAAAACCAAGTTATGTTTTAAGCATGAAAGCTGTAGGCCTATAGCTGTCAACTGTTCAAACTGTGATCACCAGTTCAATACATTTGACAAATTCGACTTAGTTTCTATACTTATTTGAACATGTATTTATTTATTTTTCAAAATTAAACTTTTAAAAAAAATGTTTTTTATAGGATATGTACATTTCGGTTAACTGTTTTTTTGGGGGTCGAATATTCATTTGCTTTCAAATTCCCATCCCTACTCTTAACTGACCTTTGCTCCCTGTTTGTGTGTTTTGTTTCTTATTTGGGTTGTGGACCCTAAGAGGTATGATTATTTAGACATGCTTCTGACCTTTTTGTGTTTGTCTCTTCGCTCTTTTTTTGCCCTTCCCCCCCCACACCCTGTATCCATATTGTTATTCCCAATTTCCATCTAACCTTTTCTACCTTCTGGCTCTTCTTTGTACCCGTCTGTCTTTCTCCTTTAGTTTTTGGTGGGCATGAGAGGTAAAGATGAGGCCATGGCCATTGGTGGTCACTGGTCTCCCTCTCTGGACGGAGCCGACCCAGAAAAGGATCCCTCAGTCCTTATAAAGACAGCCATACGCTGTTGCAAGGCACTCACAGGCATAGATCTTAGTCTGTGCACTCAGTGGTAAGAGCTGTTATTCTCTTCAATATTTGTTGTGTTTTTGTTGAAATCTAATCACTTTTGGTACTTTAAAATCACTTTTATCACTACGATTTATTACTTCTATTCAAACTCTCATCCTGGACATGTTGGGTGATATTTTTATGTTTTCCTTTTTTATAATAATGATTATTGTATTGTTAATTTGCTACTTATTATTTACCTTTATTGTGTTGTGCAAAGTTATTTTTGGTCTTTTGTGTGTTGTCGTCTTGGCTCTCTCTTGCTGTCACACTCTATATATATATATATATATATATATATATGTGTGTATATATATATAAATGCATATTTCATAGAAAAACCAAACGCATGGACTGTGGCTGGAAGCAGTAGCCTGGACCAGAAGACACTGCCTATGTTGTTTTTTATTTATTTTCTACTTTAACCTGTTAAATATCTTATATATTTAACTGGCTTTCACTGTCCTGTTGATTCTGTCTCTTCTCACAACCCCAATGTAGTGCGTTAAGTGTCTCCTACGTTAAATGCAGAACACTAATCCATAATTAGCTAAAGCTATAATGGGGATGAATTTGGGGATGTGATTTATTTTATGTGATTGTCTGTCAACTTTCTCAAAATGGCTGCCGTAACCTGGGACAACAGTTGGAGAGCTGCAGAATGGGTCCATTGTGTGTTGTGTGGGAGAAGGGCCACTGTAATGAAATGTACATCATTCAGTGAGCTCATGGGAGGGAGTAGCTGTAGAAGGCTCGCCCTTAGCAAGGCCTGCCTTTTATACTTTGCTCTGACCAGAATGTTTCTTTCCAATGCACCTTCTTCCTTTGCGACAGGTATCGTTTTGCAGAGATTCGCTATCACCGGCCGGAGGAGACTCACAAGGGGCGGACAGTCCCTGCTCATGTGGAGACAGTGGTTTTGTTTCTTCCGGATGTTTGGCATTGTCTTCCTACCCGCTCAGAGTGGGAGGTGCTGTCACGGCGACTCCGGGAGCAGCTGGCTGAGAAGCTGTCGGCCGAGCGAAAGGAGGCGGATGGAGAACAGGCACTGAACCGCTAATCCCTCTCTTCTCATTTCCGCTTCTCACAGGAAGGCACAGGAATTACAAAAACAAACCCCAGATACACATCAGACACAAAGCACACCTCACCTTTCACGCAGACAGACACATGCAGATTATTTCCCCACCAAACCTCACCTAGACGTCTTCTGTTTACTCCTCCACCTGTCCCTTTTCCTCTGCTCCAACTCCTCCCATCAACACATCCACCTTCCCTCACATCCAGCAGACACAGACAGTGGAAGCAGTGAGACTAGGTTGTGTTGTGTAGGTCGAGAATCGCAACTGATAAAACAGCTTCCAGCTCTTCAAAAGCCTCGTAATTGGGTGCTAATCTTGCTTTAATAATTCCTGCTATTCCTGGTATATCTCGGCCATTGTTTAAAACAACACTTGCTTATCCTGCTTTGAGTGTGGGTGCTTGCAATGATCTCCAAAATAGTCTCTCAAATTCGAGCCAGGGATGATTTTGCAACGCTGGAATTTAAATGTTTCTTTACGCTGGAATCTGTGTAGTCAGTTGCGTGTAAATATTGTGTTTGTTGTAGAAATGTGTATTTTTATTTTATTTTCCACATCAATTTAATATCCTCTGACTTCAAAAAGAGAACCTCCCCAGACATCTGTTTTCTTGTCTGTTCTTGTTGGATTCTGCATTTCGTTTGGACTATATGTAGAGTTTGGTTTTTCCAGGGCAGTTGGTTGGACAGATGGCTCCTATCTGACGTAGGTGTATAAAACCCATAAATGGCAATTCCCAATCCCCCAGTCATAGACCATAGGGCCACCCTATCCTCACTCCGTTTGGAGGCAGCTTCAGTTCACCTGATGTACCCACACACCTTTTGGACACACCTCTCATTGATTTTGACCTTTTTTGTGTTCCACAGATTGATTGATTGGCAGCTGGGGGGCATTTCTTTTGGTTTTATAAGAGCTAGAGAGCTTCCCTGTGTACGCTTCAGTAGCAGTGGACTTAAACACAGTCGAGAGCTCACTAGGACGACACAATGAAAGACAGATGTGACCTTGCTTCTTGCACGGATCAACATTAATGTTCCCTCGGGCCACGAGCGGTGTACTAACTGTTTGTTTTCCACTTCTGTCTTTCTCTCTGCCTGTCTCTATCTTAATGATTTTCTGTCAAGGAGGAAGAGGAGAAGGATGGGGAAGAAGCGGCTGATGTTAGTAACCCCACTCACTGGGCTAAACTTGACCCGAAATCAATGAAGGTAAGATTCAAAGAGAACGCCTCAGAGATAGAGCTAGTAAAACAGACACACCATAACATTTTCGTTTTTTTTCTACATAGTGCCTAAATCAATATTGGTAATTTGTTCTCCTCACAAGGTTTGAAGTTCATTTCCCACATCCCTGTTTTCTCTTCTAGGTAAATGACCTGCGCAAAGAGCTCGATTGTCGCTCTCTAAGCTCGAAGGGGTTAAAGTCGCAGCTGATCGCCCGCCTCACCAAGCAGCTGAAGGTGGAGGAGCAGGTGGAGGAGTCCAAGGAGCCTGAGAAACCGGAGGTCAAAGTAGCTGAGGAAGAGGAGCCATCTCGCCCTGAGGATGACCGAGAGGTACACACATTGCATCAGTAGCTTTTGTTATCGTGGAACACTATCTAAGATTGTAACTGAGTAGCAAGACTAACATGTTAGTCTTTTTTCAGTAATTAGATAAGATAGAACTTTATTGATAAGATAGAACTTTATTGATCCCAATTTGGGAAATGTTTGAAATATCATTATCATAAAACCTTTTCAGAAATGAGATTTATCTTCAAATGAATCTCTTCTTCTGTTAGGAGGAGGAAAAGAAGAAGCTGGAGGAGCTGGAGCGGCAGCGCAGAGAAAGGCGCTACATCCTCCCCGATGAGCCCACCATCATCGTGCACCCAAACTGGGCCGCCAAGAACGGCAAATTTGACTGCAGCGTCATGTCTCTGAGCGTGCTGCTGGACTACAGACTGGAAGACAACAAGGAGCACTCCTTTGAGGTGAGAGTTACTGCTCACTGTCTTAAAGAAGATACAAGAAGTCTACATATTCTATAGTGATGGCTGAACTGGATCTGCTTTATGATTCACACACATGATTATATGTTGCCTTCTTTCCCTCCAGGTTTCCCTATTTGCTGAGCTGTTCAACGAGATGCTACAGAGAGATTTTGGCTACCGCATTTATAAAGTCCTGGCTGCTTTTCCTACCAAAGATGAAAAGAAGGAAAAGGAGAAGAAAGCCAAAAAGGAAGTGGAGAAGCGTGAATCAAAGAAGGATAAAGAAGAGGAGACTGAAGAGCCAGCAGTGAAGAAGACTAAAGAGGAAGAGGAGGAGAAGAAAAAGGTAAGCCTCCCAAACGTACCTATCTGATCAGTCTGTCGTTCACCCTGCGATATGCGTGTTCTCATGTCGTTTTGACTTTTGTTTTTTAGTCTGATGAAAAGACTGTGAAAAAGGAGCCGTCTCGAGATGAAGAGGAGATTGAGGATGATGGCAGCACGAATAATGCTGAAGAATATGACCCCATGGAGGCTGAAGATGCAGAGGATGACGATGATGATGGTATTGCACTTTTCTTTCAAATGCAATATATATATATATGTAATGTCCCACAATAGGATTTGGTCTGATGAGAAACCACGCTGAACCTGTGACTGTGACCACCATTTCTGAGGCCTTAACTTTCACACCAAGTACTTTGCCGGACTTAGTTCATGAGAACTTAGTTCATGAGCACTCTTTAGTTCTCATGACTAAGTACAGATCGCGTTCACACCGGAGTTAGTTCCTGGGGAAGGGTTAGTCAAATGAAGCCGCTGACGTCACTTCTTGTTCTTCTGCCTTGGCTTTACTGGCAGGCAGCCAGTAAAGCCAAGGCGTATCCTGCCACCCGAAGCCCCCGGCCGGAAGTCCCCGGAGTTAGGGAGTCCCAGCAGCTTCTACTGAAGCCTTCCGAGTAAATCGCCAGAAACGCCGACACCTCCTCATCTCCACCGCTCCCATGTTTTTTTTCTGTGTTGCCATAAGTTAGTCTCTCTCTATATGTGCGCTGGGCTAATGCTAATGCTAATAATGCTAATGCGAGGATAATAAAATGGCGGCTTCACAAAACTTTTTGGGAGTTTTACGGGGCGTGGTTTGCAATCCGCCAATCAGATATAGGAACCTTTTTCTCCCATGAAAGTACCTGCTCTCTAGCAGGGACTGAAAAGGGGGTGAAAAGGTTCTCATGAACTAAGTTCTAGTTCCGGATTTTTTTTTGGTGTGAACGCAACATTTCGAAACTATACTGGGAAAAGTATTCCGGTGTGAAAGCGCCTTTAGTTTATATTTCTTGTGTTTACGCAATCCTATAATACAACTTAATAATAAAAGATGTATCGGCACCTTTTCTAAATGTATTTCTTTTGATATTTCTCAGATAAGGACGATGAAGACTCCAATGACAGAGACAGAAAAGACCGCAAGGATGACCGCAAGTCGTCTAAAGAAAGATCCTCTAAAGACAAGGTTAGTTATTGTTGTTAAAATATGAAGACATGGATGTAGCATTATCATGGTATTTGATATAAATGTGTTTTTTGTTTTTCCAGGAGAAGAAGCTGATGGTCACATACAACAAAGAGCTGCTGATGGCGTTTGTTTACTTCGACCAGAGCCACTGTGGCTATCTGCTGGAGAGAGACCTGGAGGAGATCCTGTACACTCTGGGCCTGCACCTCTCTCGAGCTCAGGTGAACAGACACTCATCATTATGGGATGCAGGGCTAGGACTTTGATACTGAAACCACAGCACAAACCTAAACCATCAGGAACAGATACATATAGTGTATGCTGTCTTTAGACGTGCTTTGTCTTTCATGAGTTACAGGCGACACTGTGTCAGAAGTCCTTCTGGACAATGATCTGGCTCAATTTGAGTCTCACTGCACTCAGCCTTTACCTCTCTGTGATCTCGGAACCGTGGAAACATTACTGAATATTACTAAGGAACTGTGACAAAGTATAGCATTGATTTCTGCATTACCGTTTTCCATTGTGAATACCCAGAGTGGATAATGAAAACAGGATCTGTACAAACCCATAGTGCCTTTGTTATAGAAAGAATGAACCAACTCAATGATGCCTCCCTTGTCTTAATTGGATCTCATTGTCCCAAAAGACAATCCTGACACAATAACAACAAACAAACAACAAACGGCCTAAGCTATTGACAAAAACTATCGCAATATTTGTCTAGCATGCTATACCTTGCAACACTAGCTGGGCGGCTCACTTTCTTGTTCCTAATTTGCTTTACATACAAAATAAAAAAACGTTTTTAAAGATGCAACTCGTGTGTTGCACAGTGTGTGCTTGTGCAACGCACAATATCAATCTCTATTCAAAAAATGTTCTCCTGATCAACCCCAACATTACTAAGAGTAAAGTGAATCTGTTAACGTCTTTTGTTCTGCACTTTATGGCACACAGTTACCCTTTTTTGGTGTCCTTATTAAATGCCTGCATGTCTTGTCTGTTTCCAGATTAAGAAGCTGTTGAATAAGCCGGTGGTCAGAGAGTCTTGTCACTACCGCAAACTGACGGACAGGGGGAAGGACGAGCCCACCCCCACCTTCAGTGAAGCCCAGATAGAAAACCTCACAGGTGAGCTAACATGGGTTTAGCAATGTGTAAAGTCTATTAAGCATATGTTTTAATCTATGATGAAATAGAAAGTTTCATATGAAATGAGCTTCAGCAGTATGGCCGAGGTATGCTATAGCAAGCCCTTCTCTAAAGTTGTTCTCTCTCTCTTCCCGCCAGGTAACCAAGCTCTACTTCCTGCTCCTAAGACCCGTGTGCAGTCTGAGCCCAGTGAGTCTGGTAATCTGATCGTGTTCAACGGAGCCATGGTGGACATCGCCAGCATGATGCAGAAACTGGAGAAGAGTGAGAAAGCACGAGAGGAAATAGAACAAAAGCTCTTGGTGCTGGATGCCAAAATGGGTATGATTTTAAATTGTATTATTCTGTATATGCTGTCTTTAGAAGTGCTTTCATATTCTCATGAGTTGCAGGCTACACTCTGTGTCAGAAGTCCTTCTGGACAATGATGTGGCTCAATTTGAGCTTTGCTACAAAGTAGGGCTGCTCGATTATGGCAGAAATCATAATCTCGATTATTTGGGTCAATAATATCATACTTGAAAGGTACCGCGATACCCTGCCGTTACGATTCCTCCGTTTCATTAGTATCGGTACTTTAAGAATGACGGGGGAAAGTACTCCGGTGAGAAAGCGCCGTTTTAATAAGAGCCGTGTGTGTTCAGCGCTCTGCTTCCACTCCCTGCACTGCAGCCGTGCCTGCAGTCCCTCCCCTCTCAAGCACGCTCTAAGTCCCTCTCTAAGTCCCTCCCCCTCTCTCGCGCTAGCTGCCAGAGCATGTGAGAAAACGAGAAGCATGGCTGCAAGTGGGAGTGCAACTGCCGCTGCGCCTCGGCTTGTTGACAAAAAAGACGCCAGAAGCAAAATGTGGAAGTATTTCAGCGATATCTCTGACAGTGAGGGCAAGCCTACGGACACCACGAGGCCTGTCTGTGATAAATGTTTTAGATCCCTGCAAACCAAGGGAGCCAACACATCAGACTTGGCTAAGCACCCCGCCGACCGGCATCCAGAGCTGTTTAAAGAATTTAAAGACAGACAGGTTAGCGAATGTGATAGATAACATAATTACATCATGCTGAAGCCCATGCCCTCAAATCTAAGTCAAACAAGTGTAATTTATTTTTGTGACAAACGAACGCGTTTTCGTAGTTTGACGAGCCAATTCATGGCAATGATAACTCTAATATCTTTTTAGCTAACTTACCAATGTGGCTAACATCTGCAATGTACATTTTGTCAATAATTATTTATATTACTGTAGCCTACATGTTAATAAAATATAAAGTTAACTATCAAAGAAATCACATAAACTCAAGTATAAAGAAGAGACCATGTTGTAAGAAAACACTTAACAGATAAACTACAATTTTATTTATCATGAAAATAATAAAAGAAAAGTATCGAAAAAGAATCGGAATCGCAATTCTTGACTTGGTATCGAAACCAAAATGTTGGTATCGTGACAACACTACTCACGATTATCCATTTACTTTGAAAACATAAATGTATTAGAGACAAAAAATGTGAACAGTATGTTTTTAACAGTTGATTACCCTGAACTTTAAGTATAATTCAACTGAAAAACCATTAATTGAGCAGCCCTACTACAAAGAAGCCCAGCCTCACTGCACTCAGCCTTCACCTCTCTGTGATCTCTGGAACGTGGACTGGCACATTACTATGACATTGTAATATAAAATAGATCTCAGCTAAATTGCTTTTCATTGTGTATAGCTAAGAGTGCTAAGTAACAGCTAAAGGGTTCTTTATAGGAAAGAATGAAGCGACTAACTTGTTTGTCCCATTAGCGCAGGAAAATGTTCCTTGTCCTGAACTGTAAACCCTAACAAGTTACAAGAACTCTAAAAAATAATGTAACTGATGGTCTTCATTTTCTTACAAAGCATACAATAATTTGCAACGCATTCGTTTTTCAAGTGTTTTTTAATAATTAAATTTGATTAGCAGAAAGTGTTTGACCTGACATTTTCTTGACGTTCCTATTGGTTGACATGCCTTCATCCTGGTCCTCCATCTAACTCTGCGTTGTCTCCTTCCAGGGGAAGATGGGAAGGTGAAAGCTCAGGTGGAGGAGGCCAACAGAGCGTTGTCCCGGGAGCTGGAGGAGGTGAAGGGCTCCCTGAGCCAGACGGAGCAGACCCTGAAGGCAGCGGAGGAGCAGAAGAGCCTCTTCCACCAGCAGCTGAGCGACACCTCCAACACACTGACGGCCACCGTCAAAGACCTGCTGGCTGTGCTGAAAAAGGTACAACATTTTTAGAAAAGCTCCTTGTTTTCTTTGTTATTGTTAGGACAGGCCGAACAATTTGTTATTTACCAGTGGCATTGCTTGCTTCACCTCTCCGGGAGGGAGGCCTTTTGCCATTCTCAGGGTGTCATAAATGCTCATTTATTTCACAATTATTTTCACTCGTTTCACAAAAAAGAAATCAATGGCGGTGCAGACTGAAGTAGAGTTTGTTTGACTTTAGCTGCCTGCTTATACAAATGGTATTTTCTCCTTTTTATATGCGTATTAAAAATTGTCCGGTCAAATTGACGGCATTCAATTCAGACGTTTTCAAATTCAAGGATTCAAGGATTCAAAGGTTTTATTGTCATGTGCACAAAGCTAGAGTGTAGAAATGGTAATGAAAATCTTCCAACATATATAATAAAATACAAAATAGTGCAAAAAGTATATACATATATGATATGTACAAGAACAGAGTATGAAATAAAACAATGTAAATGAAGACAAAATTAAATACGGTTTATTGCGTTTTGAAAGTGACACAGAAATGTATCAGTCTTGTTAGTTTGCGGTGGTTTTCCTAAAAGTGACGCGGTCAGTCTTGAGAGCAACAATGTTTTATATGTATCCTAGTAAAGGCTTACTCGTTGAAAGGAGTCGCTGTATTCACCGATTTTGTTTTTTGTTTCTCAGGATCCAGAAGTAGAGGAGCCTGCTGAGGAAGTTGCTGCCGATCAAGTTCAGACGTCTCAAACTAACGGCTCTGATGAATGAGTGACACATTTAAGATAAAATAAGCTAATCTGTAACACTGATTATTCTTAAAAACTGTAAATATTCAACAAGCATAGGTTGTTCTATTCGGACCTATTGTCTCCAAAGTTCATGTGTTATTAAATCCAATAATTAATTTGTCCTCGGGTTCTTTGTACAATAGATTCGTTTTAGAGTTACTTTTCTTTCATAGTCATTTGATCCGTGACAAAGCTTATTTCCACAGTTTAAAATAAGTTGAGTTCGGTTGCTAACATTTCTTTTTGCTATTTTCTTTAGCTTCGTTATGGCCAATGAAATGATTAGTTGTAGATTTAAATGCCAGTTTGTGTGAGCTGATCTTTGTTTTTCTAATGAGCAATAATGATGCTATTTATGTGCGAGAGAATTCATTGAAACTACTATAACAATATATTTAATAGAAACACATTTTGGATGGAAAAGGGGTTCCACTTAGTTCAGACAGAATCTCTTGGTTTGTCATTCCCGCTGTTTAACATCGACTGTCCAATAAACCCATTTGGTTTGTAGTTCTTGTTTAACTGGTTTCTGCTGGAGTCTCCTCCCACACGGCTATGCATGGTTCCTGCTTCTCGTGGACCTCTGCTGTCAACTGTACTCACCGAATAATGCACTCGTTCTGTTTTACTGTGACGAGCGTCTGCATTGTTTTCTAAGAAAGTCAACTTCAAATGAACCAAAAGAGGAGCTCGACGAATGTGTGTTCTGCTAAAGTGTACTAAACCCTTGAAATTCATCTCTGAACTTGTGTGGCTTGGGTTGTTCTAGCAAGGATGCAAATTACATTCAAATGTGCTACAAAGCAGGCCATTTTATTTTTCTATTGGATGTACTGTATGGATGTGTTGTGCAAGAGTAAAGTGGTCCATTTTAACACACAACAATGTTTCTGGGCTTTTGTTTTAATGTCACCACTTACCTGTGATTTGCCAACTATCAACATAATTACTGTGAACGGATTAAATCAGGAGGAAAAACTGGGATTAAGTCAGAATCAAGTTTATTGCCCGGTACAAGCCAATTGCTTTGGTGTATGGTGGTGGAAATACAAACAACACAAGAATGTAGGAGTAGGTACACATTTTTAGGAGAGTACGCTTAAAGCTCCCCTATTGTACTGTTTTTCATCAATATATTATAGGTCTCAGATATATACAAAACATGTCTCTGAAGTGTTTGGCTCGACAAACCAAACAGATCGTGCATTGTAGCATTCCATAAACCCCTCTGTTTCAGCCCTGTTTCAAAAGTGCTGATTCTCTGTCTGTTACTTTAGATGAAAATAAGGAGCCACTCCCCACGCCCCTCTGAGAGATATTTGGTTAGAACGAACACAATGGTGCTCTAGGAGGAGATTCAGGTGATAAGGTGGGGGGGGGGGGGGGTGTTACCTTGGTTGGTGATTGGCTAATGGTGACATAAGCCAAAAAATCGTTATGACATCAAGTGGCCACAATCTGATCAGATCATTTTCAGACAGGTTTTTATATAAATGGATCAGGACAAAAAGTGAGCGAATCTTTTTTCCTGAAACTTTCAGAATCTCTTTAAACAGAGGGGACACATGGTTATGTATAAAAGACATGAAAAAGACAACGATATAACATTACAAATGAATAAAGACAAGTAATTACACTACATTTAAATATACAAAATAACAACACGTGCAAACTAAGGACAATACATATATGACAATATCTGATTAACTACAGTATCATATTTTAAAGTGGAGGGAGAAACGGAGACCTGTCCTTGACTTGAAGAACTTTGAACACGTAGAGTTTGCAAACGCTTTTTTTGTCATTTAGTCATTTGATATTATTGAATTCACTTGACAATTGACAAAATAAGAAATCAAACCCCTGCAACTGAGAGCTTTTAAATCCCTCCCTCTGTCAGGCCTGCAGGGGGAGCCTCTGTGTTCCCCAGCTCAACATCCTTAATACTTTAACAATAGCTTTCAAACTGTTTTGGTTCCCTGCAACGTTTTTACTTCGGGCAATATTTTGAAATCACCTTCTGTTTATAGCCTACTCTTTAAGACGTTGACATTTATATCTCCACAGTAGATGAAGATGTTTTGCAATCTTTCCTTTCTTTTGCAATTTGAACTGCCAATAAAGCCCTTAGCAATCACTTTGAATGATGTGATTATATCAAGATGTGCTCTGCCGCCCCTCTGAGGTCGCTGGTTTCATGTCTTTGAGAGTGTTTACTTATTGGAATTACAATATATTTTGGAAGAAATGTTCATGTTGTTTCCAGTATGTTTTTGAGTTCTACCATCAGCAGGTTACATTTGGGATTTGTGTCCTAGCGAATCTTGACTTTTTGTTTTTTCTATTCCACATCTCTGTTTGAGAGTTGTATTCCTTGCATTAGATCTGGTTTGAGTTTTTTTTATATGTAGTATGTATTTCTATTATCAGGTCACTGCTAACCAAGCTAGCCTACACAGTTGTCAACAACTGTTCAATTACATTTAGGTTAACATATGTATTGTGCATGTTATTCTAAGTATTTATTGATCACTCGTTGATGGATTACTGAACAAAATGTCCCTGGAATAGACACCCATTACAAAGAGATGCATATTTACCACCACACAATATAAAACGACAATGAAATACAAAGAAACTATATAGAAATAAATGGCCAAAACGATAAAAACTAGATCTATGTACAGAAATGGTGGGGCCTTTTCCGTGTCTATGCCCAGGGGCCCATTGTCTTGCAATCCTCCCCATCATTTTTCTTGTTTATTAGATTATTTACTGTGTCATACTCCCATATGTTTACACTGCTGATAGTTTGTTACTTCACTCCAGAGTTGGAGACAGAATACGGGTGGCAGCAGACACAGTTTGGAAGAGGAATATTAATGATAAATCATTTTGGGGTTGACTGTCTGTGAACAGGGAGGGTCCTGCTTCACAGCCTCTTGTAGATCGTTCACCTTTGAAGCTTTTGTTCCCAGAGATGTCTCTTATGTCTCGCCACTGGACTTTTGTGACCTCCTGTTGATGTAATGCTGCCACTCCCTTCACAAACACACAGTCCTTCATGCTCCTTCCTTCTGCACTGTCAAACTATTTCAATAGGGGTTTTGTACCCAATAATTATTTTGTATTTCATAGATTTCTGTGCTCACAGTCATAGACACACTTCAGATCGCAATCTGTTTCACATCACTGCACTCACTTAAGACACATTTCTGTCTTGATTTATTTCACACAGGGTTAGAGCTTTCGTGCCCTTGTGGTGTTAATCAAGATTTCCCCCCACATTTTCATTTTACCCACTGCTCTTTTTGAGTACTTCAGGGAGGTTCTGCAGCTGGGAAACTGCTAAATGTGTTCCCACCAAGAATGAGATCAGGTTCTTATTTTTCTTTTAAAGCAGGAAACATCTCTGTCTGTGTCCAGCTGTCTATGACATTTCCTACAGAACAATGACTATCTGTCACCCGGTACTTCGGTTATGTGGCTGCTTTTGTCCCGGTGTCGTGCTCTGAATGCTTTACAAACAAACCTCATTTGTCCCCCGAGGAACCACATGCACACTCCTCACGCCTCACACTCCATCACAGCTGTGTGTGTGAGGTTTTGCACTTGGATGTGCATGCATATGCGTATGCATGCTCATGTGATGTGTGAAATGAGACCCCACCGCAAAGAGCAGGGCAGGTAACCCCACTCCCAGGCTGCCACAGAAGGCTTTTGTGACTGCTTCCCCGCCCCGCCTTTTTAACCCCCCATTCCTGGTATCAAAGCGCTGCTAAAATCACAGGCCGGCCTGCTGACAATCAGCCCGTTTCAATGCAGGGTCACAGCTTCCAGGAGTGGGGGCAGACAGGGTTAGCATTTCCATTTTCACCCCCTCTTCGCTTTTCATGTAAATCAGCCATCTGAAGTCTTTTGGTGCGGGTTTGGACCATGTGTAGATGTAGAGTGACGTTACACTGGTTTCCTTGTTAAATTAACAAATTCGTAGGCTATTTCTTTTATAGGCTTGAAGATTTGTTTAAATTCTCCCCTCTGTCAAATCACTCTTTTCTACGGACATCCTATGTGCATGTCAACAGTTCAGAGTCGTAGTTATCATGACAAAAGCAGCCCCTTGCCTCCCACGCAGCCTTTACGGCCCGTCCACACTACAGCTTCGACAGCTTCAAAAACGGTTTCCATTCCAACGCGTCTCCCCATTAACTTTGAATGGGGTGACGTCACGTTGCCTCGCTTTTCGCCAAACTGAATTGTGGGTAGCATCAGACCCGGCGCCAGAACAAATCTAAAGGGAGGGCATATGATTTTCATGGGAGGGCACAACACCGTCACGTGCTGCGGGCCTGCGGCACAATATATATATATATATATATATATCAAACAGCAAGGCCAACAGCATTGCGTAAAGACGCACACTAATCGCAAATACATACACAAATAAAGGGCAACATAGAAACCACTTTTGAAACATTGTGTGCGTGGCAGCACAGACACTGGTAAATCACGAGCAAGGCACACTGGTTAAGGATGGCAGCTTCCTCATCGCTGCACTCGGAGAGAAATAGACGGAGACGATGAACTGCTGTTAGCTCCAGGGGCGTCGCCTGGACCTGGAAACATTCGGGGCTTAGCCCACAGTGGCGGCGCTAGTCAAATGTTCTACTGCAAGACTCCCCACACGCACATACACAATTGCGCCATCTGGTGTCACAAACGTGTGCCTGCATTAGCTTTGTTACGGCAATGGATTGTGGGAGATTCTCATAGCACGTGAGGATCTCTTGAGGGTAAGGTGCCTGTATTATCTCGGTGGACAAAATGTATGTTTTTATTTTATAAGGACAATAACGTACTGTTGTGTTTGTGTAGTTTAATGTTAATTGTTTAATGCTCACAGTCACAGCAACATGTTTTTAGTGTGATTGGCTATTTGTTTTATATGATTTATCAACGTGATCATCAATAGCTAATCTGAGCACCAGAACCCAGCTCACGAGTCCTTTTATGCTGTCCATTGAAATGCAGGTATGTGAGTTTTGTACACCAGTTTATTTATGTTTAATGTTTCACATTGCTCCACATGATGCCTTGACTACAAAGTCTTCCATGTTTCTACGCTTCTTCCTCTGTGTCACAGTTTCGGGAATATCAAGATCATTGCACAGGGCCTTGGTCTTGTCATAGACCTCATGTGCTTTCTCGTTACTTTGGTAACTTTTCAGTGTGTTCTCAACTGCTGTTTTGTAATCTACTGCCTGCACCAAGTCAAGTGTTTCTTTCTGCAGGTATTCAAGCAGGCCCTGAGTGGTTGAGAGCAGTGTCTGGAACAGGACAGCATGTAGATGGTACTGAATTTTCAAAGCTTGCTTTCCAGTCCCTTTGCTAGAGGGGCTGAAAGGCTCCCTAAAGTCTTGATCAAAGCAGGGATGTTTTTGACATGCCCAGCGAACAAGTTGTTCGACCTCTAGTTGTTTCTGAAATGTTTGCAATCTCTGATGGTGGACAAGAGATGTGGAGAAGAAAGAGTAGAGACACTCCAGGAGATCAACGCAGGTATGTGAGTTTTGTACACCAGTTTGTATAAGTTTAATGTTTCACATTGCTTGTGAAAAATATACTACCACTATACGATCACTGATGTTTTGTTGTTGACTGGACACTTATTTTGTAAAAGAGATAGCATGAGAGGATCTCTTAAGCAATGCAGCTCACGTGTCCTTTTTATATGCTGTCCATTGAAATGCAGGAAAGTAATCACCAGCTCTGAGTGATCTGTTGACGAGGGGACACTACACCGGAGTTACATAAGCAGAGATAAAGTGCTATTTTGGGGGGAACTCACCTCCTCTGGGGTCCCCCAGGAAGACTTTTTTTAAATACTGAAGTTAAAAGCATCAATCTTGTGCACTTTGAGAGCAACATTAAGAGATATGGATACATCTCTCAACACCCATATGTCAAAAGAAATCAAAGAA